TGCCTGTGCTCCAACAAATAGAAGTGAGCCTCAGCTCAGCTAACCAACTCCAGCACCTGACCAGCGAAGTCGTCGGCGGGTGGTTCAAACCGTTTTGTCATCGCTGCCATCCAACCTATTGAAGGCGATGCGGAAGAGGTGGTAGCCGATGCGACCTCCATCACAGCATGCTCGCATGAATGTCGAGCTACCCAGTCATAGCCACCAGGCAGTAACTCATTGTACCACGCGGATGCCACCGGTGCATCACCCCTACGACTTGTTATTAGGTCTTCGGTCTAATGAGTGCCTGGACATGTTGGCACAGATAAGCAACCTGCTGTGACGCCAAATGATGAGCCATCACAGGGATACCAGGACTCTTGTGTCCATTCAGCTTGCGCAGATGACGCTGTTGTTCCACCATCAGGTCACGCTCTGAAGGCCCGCTGACACTAGCTGTATATACCATGCTCGTTATGCATCATGCGCCGCTCACATCACAATTCAGGCAGCAGGAGGCGCTTGACAGAACGATGTCTCGCGGGTTCTCCTCCCGGTGAGCACGATTTGACTCGCTGCACAGACGATCCGCTAGTTCCTGGCTCTCACAGCCTCCCTCAGTATGGTCAAACTGTCTCTCCATGGCTGCTTCGTTCTCCAATCGGATATCGCCAGCTCGTTACTAGATGCGTCACCAAGGGCTTGTAACTCCTTGAACCTGGCTTTGAGACGACGGCGGATCGCCGGTAATGCGTACCTCCGGCTCGTTTGGGGGTGCTCTGTCAAGCTATTCGTCAGTCTATGAGACGCTCCCTAGAGGTGGCGGCAGATCCTATACTCCTTCATGGTGATGTTTTGTTCTATGTCCCCCTATCGATCCTCGTCCAAGCATCTGAGAATCTGCCTTGCGTGTCCAGTGGCAGCATTCCTCTGAGCAGAGTAGATTAGATCAACCTTACTGTAAAGTTGGTGAGCCTACTGCTACTATTAAGGGGCTTTGGACAATGGTTCGGTAAGCTGATAGTCTATTGATGCAGAGTCTCTGCAACTCTGCAACTCGAGATGTGGATAAAGTTAGATATTCAGAATCTTTGAAGTCTGTTTCATCCGTTTGACTGAATAGTGGGTCTATACAAGTTTATACGCGAAAATTACAAAGATTATTACCAGTACCAGTCACTGAATATGTGTATTTGATTATATGAATCGTCTTGAGGACTGTGGATAAAAGGAAAGTGTTGCCGGTGCAGGGGTCAAAGGGCTGAGCCACGGAAGATTGTGGCCCGAAAATGGGACCAGTCAGCCTTTGACACCTCACATCCCTACGAGCTGATTGGGGCCCAATTTCAGACCCTCTTCATGCTGCTCAGGGAGGAAATCAGGCACGATCACGCTGGCTCATGTTGGCTCACGGCGAGCTCAGGCACGAATCAGGTACAATCACGCTGGCTCACGTCGGCTCATGGCAAGCTCAAGCTTGCTCAGCCACAGCTCAAGCTGCTTACTCATTACTCATGTTACACCCCTGCGTAACTCAAGATCAGATCCGGAAAAAGCTTTGTGTGAGAGTAGATTTCACTTCATTGTTATCCGCTATTTTTATCTCTTTAAAGCTATAATAACTACTCTAGTTAATATCTAGCCTATTATAAAGATTAACTTGTTAAAGTTATAGTTACATGTTTTTATCCTAAATACTATACTTAGCTTTTATGTTAGCTACTAGGCAAAACTAGCCCTAGATAACCTTTAGATCTTCATAAAGCACTTTTTTATAAGTATACTTATAATTAAACTTTATAATAAACTTAAAGTAGTGCTTAACCTACATACTAGGCTAGTTTAAGCTAACCTAGCCTAGATTATGCTCTGCGCGCAAGAAATTAGCTATATTAGCTATAGCTGCAAGCCTAGGAGAAAATCTGCGTGTAATAAGCTTAGGTATGTACTTAATAACTACCTTCTTTTTAAGCTTAGTTAGATTCCTTAATTAGGCTAGCATTCTGCTTGTAAAGGCTGTCTAGCGTGTTAATTGCTTAGTGTTGTGTAAAAAACATTATACATAGCTATAGCGTGTTATAAGAAGAGTTTTAAGTCTTATTTAAGAGCCTAAAAAGTAAGCTGTATCTAACATTCTTTAGAAGATTTAATCTAGTGTTGTTGTTAAGGCATTATGTAGATAGGTAGAGTTTAGTAGGGGCTTGGCAAAAGTGGCCGGCTAACCCGTGTGGCCGGCTAACCCGTTAGGTACGCTATTGATTGATTAATGTTTCTTTTTTTTTTGTCTGCTCTCCTCGTGTTGCTCAGCTTTTGTTTTTCCAGTCCAAGTCCCTCGCGCACTAGCCCTATGCGCGACCAGCTTGCAACATGCTGCAATTTGCAGCAACATACTGTTCGAGCTTATTGCTCGTACTATGTAGCAGCTTTCGTCCAGCGTTCCTCCTGTCTTGACAGTAGGTGCGCATATCTGACAAGGCTATAATAAAGTTTGTTGTAGTGTTGTCTTAGCAGGTGAGTGAGCAACTCAGGTGTGTGAGCAACTGCCAATCCCCGACACACCGATGTGGCTAGAAAGGTGGAACAGACGCAACTAACTATAATTCAAACATGTTTTACACAACGCATGCTAGAGCAAACTGCATGCAAATTAACAGAAAGGTGCACCTATATTTGGTATACATTTCTTTTAAAAAAGAATCTAAGAAATACATAAGGTGACAGAGAAATAGCGTTACTAGAGTTTATCCAAAGAAATTCTGACTAACTAGCGCGTCCAAAAGAGGAGATTCTGCTCAACTTTTCGTTCTGCAAACCCGAATATAATAAGCAGAGCA